GCCCCCCCCCCCCCCCCCGTTGAAATGAGCGCCATATAATTTACGATGTTCACAATTTTGTGTTGTCAACCGGGTTCTAATGAATGCTAGAATGATTATTGATTAAGGTTTGTGAAAGAAACGCTTGTGGCCTGTTTTAGGTTATGTGAGAAAGCGCGGAAACCCGTAGGGTGTGTGATTTCTTGGTCAACAATTGTATTACGAGTTGTCAATTGTATGCTGAATGCCTGAATTATAAAACCACCTCTGTCAGTGTGCTTTCTCACTATTGTGTTCCAAATTTAAACATCATGATGATATTTTGTAACTTTTTGTTTTCTTCCAATTTTTATTTGGATCCACAGGAATTTTGGTACTATCTCAGATCTCGTTATCTAAATCCCTACATTTAATATTAACAAAAAGTAACAGTGGAACCACGGTTCCGGAGAATTTGACGTAAATACGTCTATACGGAAAGGAAGTTTATATATTGGCTTTATTCTAAATATTTCCTTTATACATTCTTTACAATTGAGATAAGTTTGATTAAGACATTGCTTATTCAACTTCAATTAGTTACGCTTAAGATGGGTCTGTGGTAGCTGAATGTAATGTAAAGTAATGTAATGAAATGTTTTATAGGTAACAACAATGCCGAGTAAATAGTTGTCCCTTAGGTAACCATTGTTGTTTATTTGTTGATAAACCATTGTTACACTTTTTTGTCGAATGACCCTTCCTTATGGACGTATTTACGTCAAAAATTATATCTGTTGTGTTCAATGTGTCGGTTATCCTTGGCGTAGTTGCAGTCCATAGAGAACGCTACGAATCCATGACCACAGAGAAGCCAGATCTAACGTTATGTAATTGTCAGCAGAGCGGAAAAGTCCGACTGCTGGCGAATGTCCCAGTGTTTCTACGAGTCTAACTAATTCCTGGACAAGAGGCCTTGAATTTAGATCAGCTGTACAAGGTCTACCAAAAGTTATCGAAGACAAGGCAACGTTGTGGCTTGCAGTTGTGACGCCTACCGTGGCCTATTTAAATGCGAGTATCCCGTATTTCTCAAGCTGTTGGCGTAACCTAAATGTCACGTGTGTAATTAATGCCGTTCTGTTGCAACTGGTTTATGTAATTTTCGTTTCGGCGCCATTACGAAAGATTCCTGCCTTGGGCAATAACAGGCTTTGATAATATTTGTGTTTTTTCTGTAACATGTTGTATGACAAAATAGATCCTTAGTTTCTACAGAATTTCGTGATATTAAGTTGCTTCTACTGTTTGTCGAACTTATGTGTCGCTTCCGTGTTAAAAGTAGGGTTCATAGGCTTATTGGAGCAATGGGTGTGTTTTCCCGGGACACGCTTTTTATTGTGCATAAAAGAACTCTCCCACTTTGAACTAGCATATTTGTTGTTCTTATTTTGGCAACAAGACATGTCAGCCACTGGCCAATCAGCTGTTTATTCCGCAGCTGATCTGGGTGCGCGCGCATGCTATAGCCACCTGCACAGACGTCTATGACAAGATGGAACCAGCAGTATCAATGCAATTGTGTAGTGTCAAACATGTTATTGACGATACAGTGCGTGTAATTAATTGTATGAAGACCTATTGTGACAACCTGAGAGATAATTACGTAACATCGTTTCATTCACTGTTCAGTCGTGGCAGAAATGGAGGTGTTCGCGACAGGAGCAAGGCAGATTAGCGCTAACAGTTCCCAACATTCATGAAGCCCTCTGGCGAAGGTAAAATGGATTCTGTGTCCCGAATCGTTCTCTGTAGATGTTGGGACCTGTATTTTTTTTTTTTTTTTTTGCATTTTTGAAGTTCTGTTTTGTTGACTGACGATGTTTGTGACAGATAAGGCTGTTTGTTTTGTGTTGGTTTCCATCCAAATTGAAGTGTATGTTGGGTTTTGAATCTAAACGGACGACAAGGCAAGCAGTGAAATTATAAAAAAAAATATATATATAACTTTTTTTTCACATTACCCAGATAACTGAATTCTGAATGTAATCTTAAATGAAACAGTGCCAAAAGTCAATAATTTTATAAATACCTTGGAACATATTTAATGTTCTTTACAGCTGACCGTATTTGGTGACTTCAAATTCATTGGACTGCTGATTTTAAACTGATGTGTTATGTATTGACATACTGTTGATTGGAGCAGCCCTCCAGTGACTGTTAGTGTCGCAAGTTGGACTCTGCTGAATGGGTATTTGCATTGTGGTTTTCTTGCAGACATGCACTCTGTGATGGAGGGGGAGGATGGGGCAGAGCCTCATGATGTGTTTGTGGATCTGGGGGTGCTGATCGTTGAGGGCCGGATCCCAGGCGGAGCGTGGGCAGCCGGGAGGGGCTACGGAGAGGGTCCTCACTGTGCTGGTGTGGGGATATCGGCACTACCTGCTAGACATGACTGTGATCCCAACACAAACTTTCTGGTGAGTAAGAAACTGGGTTTATTGCGTTGTTACTATTGAATTTAATAAACTTCAAATATCGCCGCCTATTTATTTTTATACCAGGTCTTAATACAATGAAGGTTCTGACTGCACCAAATATGACATTTTTATGTGAGTTCTGGGTTTCTCGCTGTGAGGATGATGATGCTGTCTTGGGTTCTGACACTATGTAGACTCATATGTAGATACCATTGTTTTGAAGAAACGCACTGTCTCCATCTTCAGGGTGTCTTGAAGATGGAGTATGTTAATGTGAAACGTTGCTGTTTACCTTCGGACTTACACAGCGTACATAACAGCAGTCTTTTTCTCTTTCTTGCAAATAGAAAAGCATTTGTTTGTGTTCTGATATCTTGGTGAAACATCTTCCACCAATATGTGACTCAAGCAATTCTGTAGTATCAAAGTCCAAATGTCCATTGCTGTCTGCAGCACAGTCAAAGTGCGCGTGGTACGTTAGCTGTTCCAACGGTGAAAACTCTCGGTTCGACTTGTCCTTGTTACAGATAAATGCAGATAGGAAGTTATTTATGAGTGTGAGCGGTTAGCCAATCAGATATGGGCAAAAGTTTGCACCAGTCTCCAAAACATTGCTGAAAATTTAAGTTAAAGTTTCATGTCATATGTTTTAGGGATTTTTCTTGCTTTTGTGTTCCCAGATTTGGATCTGAACGAAATATCCGCCCAAGCCATTGTATACGATGTTAATTCATGTTACAGTTTGTGTTCTGTGTTAATATGAACGCTTTTGTCTTGTAGATACACAGATTTCTTGTTTCTCATAGAATGTTAACACATTCAGTATTTACACAACTGAATGTCTTCAAAAAGAATTTTCAAAACAGGGATATAAATATGCCGTATTCATCTGTATCTTCACAAACTAATAAATATATTTGTTTCTAGCAGTACAAAGGTCTCAGTGTTAGTTACATGCAGAATAACCCTCTTTTCATAATTATGGCATAAATACTAACACTTAGGACAAAGTTCTACTGAAGCGAGCTTATATAAGAATTTGTATCATCTCTATTAGCTTTGTAAGTCCCCAGCAAATAAGAAATTAACTTGCGTGTGCAGTGTAAGCGTGCAGAAAACTTCCGCAAACACATGCAGCTGTTGTGGCAGAATAACATACCGTTATGCATCGAGGTGCTGCTGTGTGCTGACTGTCAATGCGGCCAACAGAAAGCTCAGTCTCCAGAGGTTGCCAACATCCCATCCTCGACTGACTTGCTGCTAGAGCAATGGATTGTAACCATGGTAACCAAGAGGTAAGCACCTGTATTTTGTAAATGTGCAGACTCGTATAAACCGTGTGCAAATGGATATTTACGCTGACGTCGATTACGTGTCGCAGGTGCCCAGAGGTGCGGCAGATTCCGGTGCGTAGCCTTTTCCAGGCGGTGCGATCCCAGCTCCACTTCTCACAGTTGTCTGCCTGGTGGAGTTGCAGCAAAGGTTGTAGCCCCACACATGTAAATTATCGAGTGACCGTTCCTGGCGAGGCATTTGCCTCCCAGTTCCAGCGTCAGCCGGTGGAACACAGCTTTCCGGTTGCCGTTATCTCAAGGGGAACTGCTGTTAAGGTACTTGGGACCTCTTTACTCAGCCAACTTTTTTCCTACATTTTTTTATGAATATATTACCAAAAAGAAAGGACAGTAATTTCATTTTTGTTACCTTTTGACAAAATGTAATGTGCGAAACTTTGTTTATGCTTCCCCATACACCGTCTTGGCATGGTGCTTAAGCACATTTTGTTTTTATCTTATATTTAATTTGTAATCAGTGAATATGTTGCTCACTTTATACGTCATCATACGGTATAGGTAATTTAAACTCTTGTGCTACAAGCCTGGTGGTCAGGTCCTAGCGCTGGGGCTAACAATTCAACGCTACACTACTGCAACACGGATAATAAAGGTTAACTAATAGAATAATGGAGAATTATAATTTATTTTGAGTAGTTGGTGGAACATGGGTTTGAGTGTATACTTGTTTGAAGGTGTGTATGCGCACATTACCACGCATGGCGACTGTCCCTCGCATCCAGTGCCCGCAGCATCATTGTGAAGCAGAACAGAAGCCCGTTATAGACGCTGAGCTGCTAGGTGCGGTTGGTGGTTCTGGGTGCTGCAAGGATGAGGCGTTCAAATGGGGGTAAGAAATAGAACAGTTACAGCATTGGACTTCATTGCTGTGGTTGGCTGGTTGTGCCGTTTTAGTAGGTACAAGTCTGCGGAGCATTACGACCCGGAGGACTAATGTCGACATCTTCGTTGCCATGAAAGCTTAAAATCTTATTCATTTACTGATGTTTGCCATTGCTTAAATTACAGGGTTTTTTCCTTCATGCTTTTCTACTTGGGGGGGGGAAAAAAGACTACTAGAATAGGTTATCGTAACTCTATCATGGATGTTGTAGTATGTAGCCATTTTTAACAAAATTCATTTCTGACTTTACGCTAGACTTAGACTTAAATGTAGAATAGTCGAAACTGTTTCACATCAGTCATTAATGAAGTGAACGATGTAGTTTTCTCCTCCTTGCAGTTACAAAGCTATTTAGGAATGTACCTGTTCTGAAGAAAGTGTGTGGTTTTGGCAGAGAGGTTACTTCAAAGCAGCCAGCAGCTGACCCCCTGTTGGGGGAGAGCCTCCTGGATCCACCACAGAGTCTGGATCTGTTTGCTCGTCGCTACCAGAGCCCGTCGAGGTGCGGCAGTCCCAGCCTTGAAGCGCCCGAGTATCTGATGTTTGGACGTAGTGTGGCTCCCATGAGACCCGAAGGTAACTGTTACTGACACGTCATTCAATATTAATGTTTAAAAATTAGGAATAAATTCCAGTGTTTAATTACTACGTTTGGTCAGAAAATGTCGTGAATGAATTGGGACCTTTGTGAATGTTGTGGCTTGGAAAATGCAAAAGCATCTTATTACAGTCGGTGCTAGCCGTCCTGTGATTGGTCGCTGGCGTGACAACAGCCCCCCCAGTCCACCACTTGGCTCGCAGCACCACAGGAGACTCGGCCGTCAGGGGCTGGCACGTCGCAGAGATGCCAGCACTTTTCCCGCCTCGGCTACCGGTGGAAGCGCGGCTTCCGCGTGGCAGAAATCACACGTGTTGCCAGGTATGTGGCATCCTATTGTCCTCATCTGTCTTGGCTGTATGTTGAAGTTTGGCGTTGGAAGTACTGCCCCGTCAAAACCGGCTCACAGATCCAACCTACCTTTCATCTGATGAAAAATAGGATCCTTTTCCATGGGTTTCAAAAGGGACAATGTTACCAGTTACCTTCATGCATTTTAATGGTGTATCTATACCACTGATACATATGGGGTAGTGGTCGTCAGAAAACTAACTGCTGTTTTAGCGGTTCTTCAAACACAAGTTTCGTGCGTAGTATTTGAAGGAAGCAAGGTTCAGAATTGTTTGTCAATTTCTGTCATAAGAATTTGACTCTCATAAAATATTTAATATGATTTGGGTGTGAATGGGCGTAGGTCTGGTAGATGACCGCATGCAGAACCCGTGCACCCGACCCGGGAAGCACCATTGTCGCTGTGCGTTTGATGAAGACCTGGACATCCTGCCACCCACTGGCAGTGGACAACAGAGTGGCGTGCATGAACCTCCATTGCCTTGTAAAACTTCTTCCAAGCCCAGTACAAGCCCCACTTCACTGCCAGCTCCAAAGAGGGAAGAGCCACACCTGGGATCAGCACAAGCAAAAAGCTCGCTGCCACCAGATGAGAGCAAGATGGGCCGGTTGAACCTAGAACTCAGCCGACGAGAGTTTGAAGAAGTATTGTCTGTGTTGCGGTGAGCATCTCCTGCAATCCCTTTATACAGTATCATTTTACATGTCTTCTTCTTCTATGGCTCTCCAGTCCGTATTCGGTCCATGGCCTCCTCAATTCTCCTCTTCCATTCGGTCCTCTCTTACGTCTGTCTGTCCGAGGCTTTGATCGAGGTTTCGAAACATCTTCCTTTTTACGGTGCAAGGTTGTTAGCCTTGCGACCAACCCCCAACCTGGAGGACCAGGGTACCTGTCTTAGTCTGACCTCTCCCCCTCGACCAATCTGGCTAGGGAGGCCCTACCAGTAGCTATGCTACTATCAGCATAGCCATTTTACATGTACATTCTCCATTTTAAACCAGTTAATTAGTTAAAATATGTCAAAAACAGATTAGTTTTGCGTGACTGTAACTTCATATGAGTAATAACATAATTGTGATTCCCTGTAGGGATCGTAATGCCCCTCCAAATCACACTGTTGGCAAGAAGCTGGCACCAAGAAATCGCAGGGGCATGTCCCCCCGTCAGGACCTCGTATATAGTGTGCCATCATGTCTTCCATCTACCTCAAATACGGCGGCATCAGACAAAGCAGATCTGCTCATGGGTGCCATCCTGCGCAGTAACAAAACCAGTGATGCCTCCTCTTCAGTATTAGGAAAGTGCGACCAGGGGAGCAGACCTTGTGATAAATGTGAAATGATCGATGAACGGACCATTCCCTCCTCTCTTATTTGGACTGCTCGGACAGAGAGTTCAAAGTGCGCTACCATAAAGGGACCCAGCCCACAAAGTCTTTCAAATGGAACAAGCAGGGAGTGTAGTGATCATGTGCCTTTAAAGTTGACTAGTGTCGGAGATCGGACGAAAGGCGAGGTGTCAGTTTGTGACGATAAAATAAAGTCAGAAGTGGATGAAAGGAAAAATTTGGACTCACCATTCTTAAACAAGAGTTTGGAACGTATCAGGGAATTCTTCAAGGGAGACGCAAAACCGACACAGGAGAACGGGGAGGTTAGTAAATTGTGTGTATCCTGTTACTGTAAGTTCTCTTAGAGTAATAGTTTTTTAACACTGCATAAATTTTATGAATAAATAGTACACAAAACATTTATCTTACTGTGCTGTATAGTCTTGGGCCATGCCCCTTCTTTCTCTCATTTGTACACTGTCCAGCATTGTTCTGAATGTGAAATGGAAGTAAGGAAAGTGTCGCGTTGGAAATTTCAGAGAAGAAAAGAGGGCTGTAATCAAGAAAAGAGGATAATCTCAGGTGGGATCTATGGGAAATAGTTAGTTAGTTAGTTATGATTCATTTTACTGACTCCATCACACAGTCATACTGTATACGCAGTGAGTATGTCAAGATTAATAATTTTGTTATTTTTGTCATTTATGTTTATTGATATCGGCATCAAACGCACAGCACCGCATAAAGGAAGTGTCACTCGATGCTTGTTTTGCATGCACAATTTTGAGAGTGAATCATATCAAACACATTGCTCTTGTGTGGCAGAGTACGAGTTTGCCAGAGCGTCCGGTTCCATCGGCCCAGGACAAAGCCAAATTCCGCCGCTCTCTGGACTCAGCTGCGTCTATGGTATTCCATTGTCGTACTGGACTGCCGTTGACATCGAGTCCTGCGCCTGTCCGCAGGGGCACCACCTGCTTTGACTTTGACAGCACGCTGAATTCAGTCTCTGCTATTCGCAGGTAATATTACATTGAAGGGGTTATTCCAGGCCTAAAATGAATATTGGAAACAATAGTTCTTATTCCAATATGTCTATCAGAAGTTAACATGCATCTGTCATGGTGCAGTGGTGCCAACTGCTATTTATTGTTCAGTGTCAATAGAAGTGAGGAAATTAACTGATATTAGTATTAATCTTCTGGGTAGTTATGTCTTGTGGACATTGGTAAATACCAATGTTTTGGAGAAATGTGCTGTCCATCTTCAGTTCTTCAACCCTCTTGATATATTTGTATCTGCTTACTCAAATCTTGATTTAACTCATATTATCATGTGAAATATAGTAATGTGATTGAAATATACACTGTCCCTTCTCACGTTCAAATATCCAAAAGTATGTTTTGAGGTTCGGTAGATTTGAATGGCAGTTTATCATGTTACAGCGCTCTGTTTGAGAGTGTCCCGGCAGCACCTGCAGATGATGTGCTGAGTGTGAGTAGTGATGATACAGAGAGTGAAAGTGGGGCGCGCTCCCCCTGTTCGCCTGGAATTGGTGGACCCACACTTAATCCGCTAGAGCCTTCCTTGTGGTCCCAGTACACACTTGCGCCCTGTGCATCTCTCCTAGGTAAGATGCAGTTAGTGTTCTGCACTGCTGACTGATGCATGCACAAATTATGCCAAATTAATAGAATGCAGCTGGAAAATTGGCAAAAAATGTTAGTGTAAGGAAATGAATTTAATTTATTTTTTTAATTATTTGCTTCATGGTGTCATTACATATCCATTCACATCTTAGTCTAAAAGATATGGGAAAATAATTTATGCCTCTCTTCAATTGTACTATATGGACTGTTGTATGTACCTGCATTGAATGAATGTGGAAGATCAGAAAGGATGAAGAATGGTAACCTGATTGGAAAATGTTTAGTCCAAATTGAAGTTTATCTTTGGAGTCTTGTTATATACTGTATGTGCCGATCCTGCTAAAGTTCAGTCCAAAATTCCATAGACCTTATAGTCCTGTTACCTGTCACGTGATTTGTTACAGGCAGCTTTGAAGAGTCTGTTCTGAATGGCCGGCTGGAGCCTGTGAGCACAGTGCAGGGTTTCACTGCAGATCTGGGTGCCAGCGGATCTTTCTGCCCTCGACATCTGGTATTACCAGTTACCGTCTTCTTTTACACGCTGGGTGACAACGACAAAGTCTCCACGCCATATCTCGTAAGTCTGCACCGAAACGTTCCAAAATCAGCTTGGAAAAGTTACCAAATAAATTAATAACTCACTTTATTTCGCTGGAAACGTTACAGGGGCATATCAATCTCGGCAAGAAGGGTTACAATGTTCCACGCAGCGGGACGATACAAGTGACCCTTTTAAACCCACTTGGTACAGTGGTCAAGATGTTTGTTGTTATGTATGACCTGGCTGACATGCCGGGCAATTCGCAGACTTTTCTCCGTCAGCGCACCCTTTACATGCCTGCCAATCCGACTGGAAAACAACCAGACAATGCTCAGAAGTGGCTACGATACCTGATACACCTCAGGTAAACTGCAGTAATCTTGTATATATTTATAAAATGTTGGGCTGTTTAGTAAAATGTGTTTCAGATTTTAGCATAACTGAGCTTTTGGTACATGTAGCTTTTTTAATGCCTGCAGATTCCTCAGCTCAAAGTCGGGCCGAATATACCTTCATTCTGACATCCGTATGATAATTTTCCGCAAGTCGGACATGGATACCGCAACAGCACATGGAATGGACATGGCATATGAACTGCGCTCGTTCACACACGGACCCACCAACCCCAAATTCTCCCCACACAAGTGACCATTTGATGATGTGACTTCAGTTAACTGGGACGCCAGTGACTGGGCTAGTAATACCGCAAGTTGCTGTCTCACTACTTTACCTGTTTGTTTACTGGACCAATGATTCTGTAAGTTCTTCAGTCACAAGTGACCGCTTGGCTATATCGCCTCTCAGTTTGCTAGTAATTGTTAAAAGTCCGCCCTTCATAAGTGATTGGCGATGTTATGTTTTATGATCATTAACTTACACCATCACATGTGACAGCTTGGACTGATGACACTGGAAGTTAATTCTTTGTTCACTGTAGTGTCTCCAGCTCACAACTTGCGTGAGTGGATTTGTATCTCTGAAGTGGTATGGTCCTTAGCTCAGTTCTCTTCAGGGCACATAAGTATAAATTAATGTTAAACAAGTTTATGTGATAATTATGCTTTGTTGAAATGTTGGTTGAATTCTGGATTGCTCAAAGCTTCATCCAATACTAAATGAAAGAATATGACTTTTGTGTATGATACTGTGAAGGAAGTGTCACAGTAGAATCCATTTGGTCTTCCTCCCTCGTGTCCAGTCCCAATTAATTCCTGTTTTCCATGCTGATGAAACCACTTCAGGGATAATTTTCTTATTGGTTGGTTTACAATTGCATTTGTAACTGATATGTGTGCAGTTTATTCAATTTCTCTATAGTTTTACGTTATTCTTATTATGAGTTATTTTTACGGTTAAGTTAGACAAACAGCAATAAAGAGGTCCCAGTTTCGGACCCAATTGTAAATCAATTTAATGTTAAAAGAAATTATTTCCATCTGTTTGCATTTGTAAACTAAACCATATGAACAATCATTATTGGTATTACTGATTGTGTGTCCGCCTCAGTGTTACTCGAGAAAGAACGATGAACAAAACGATGGAGTGTGTATGTGTTGTTGGTACTTCTTGATGTATTATCTGAATCTCCCCATATAATGAGGCCAGTAGCAGTGGTTAACGTGTCTTTGAACTATCTGGGACCGTTCCTGAAATTGTTGTTACAAGTTTGTGAATGCTCAGAAATTAGTACATGGCAACCCTGTTGCTTAATGAACTATCACGTCCATTACCGTAGTCATCATGTTGATAGCTTGCAGGAGTTTGTATAGGCTTGACATACTTTTAAGTGTTAGTAAGTTGCAGATTGGCTGTGTGTGGACTATACATGTGTTGTATCTTGATTCCCTTTAGAGGTGGCACTGCATGTTATAAACTTGATTGTATCGATGTTCATGAATTAATGTTTTCCATTCTCTGATAACATACTGCAATGTGAGCATATGCTCTGAACTGAGAAAAAACAGTCCATTCTCTTAATGATAATTTCCTACATTTACTAACCTCAGTGACTGCTTTTGACCAAGGTTTAAAAGGATATTTCAGAAGCAATAAAATTGGTTGAGATAGGTTAGACATTTATAGTTTTCATGGAAGAACTGCTGATATTTCTGTCCTCCAGGTTGTGATATCATGTACCTTTGTGGGTGGTACCAAAATTTCGGAAGGGGCGTGCTGCTTGCATCTACCCTGAAAGTGGAAGGAGTATGTTTTTTCCAAAATGTTGGTGGCCATTAACACAAGGGTACATAATGTCAAAAATCATAAGACTGAAGTCTGAGTTCTCACCACTGTAGAAACGTGTTCATAAACAGGGTGGCATGCAGATGTAAGTCACGTAATGGTACGAATCTGCTTATGTACACAAGGACAGAGACATCTAGATTTGTTTGTAGCAGAGTACACGTTCCGTATGGTTAATTTGCCGCGACTACTAAATGATGAACATGTACAACATCGATTAGAAAAACAAGGTAATATGCACTTCTATATGAAGGATTTATATTCTTGTATAGTAACATGTATGACATATACAGAGACTTTGTTATACATCACTTTTCCACATAGTCACCACAGATGTTAAACATTTGTCCCACTGCGACACCAAGGCAAGTATCCTGACATGGAAGAAATATGTCAAGTGCCCTTAGCCATGAAACAACAATATTCTGCACTTCATCTTCAGTCAAAAATCACTTAGTGTTATTTTAGGACTGCGTGGTAGGTGGTGCAAGAACCTCCCACTCAGAAATGTGTCACATGCCCTTATTTTTTTAAGCACCCTCACATGTTTGTGATAATTTGGCAGGATAAATCCTTCGTAATCTCCTGACATAGTTGGATGACCATGACTCTTTGTTTCATAAAATAAGGCTACCATCTTTTGGAATTGTTTTTCTTTCATGAATCCACCAAGAAAGAAGGTGCATGGATTAGTGACCAAGGTCTCCGCTGCTCAGATCTGTTCACAAGCATGGTTGTCAGGATACTGACTCGAAGTCATGTGCACCCAAGGTAATGTTAGCCTCATCTGCACAAATGGTGTGCTTATCAACAAACCAGTTTCAACAAATTAAAAAAGAAAACATGCTTAGGTGGTACTTTGAGTACCCATTTTGGCCAATTAAGAATGGTCTTGATTAGCCTGTAAGTACACATTTTGTATGGTCACTACTCCAAGCATCGTCCGAGTATCGCACATTATACATTATACTGTGGCGCATGCAGCAAACAGTTCATCATCTGTTGCTGATCGTGTGCAGTTGCACTTAATTTTTACGGGTACATTGAAAATCAAACTGATTGTTTGGTGAACGGAATGTCTGGGTATCACCGATTCTGCCACGCCTTTCCTCATTGATTTTTCCCAGGTTTCTCTGCGGTGAAACTTGGATGTTCTGGACAGTATGCACACTTGCAGCATAAGAATGTTTTTGCTTCAAAATTGAACTGCCCTGTTGAAACTCAAATTAGCCATGAATTGTCTTGTGAGAAGGGTTACACCATGCCCTGAAATGAGCACAAACATCACCGCATAGCCAGAATACATTTGTTTTAGCACAAAAGATAAAGTGTTTTAATTCTTTGGAAAGTCTGCCTTGATAAGTGGCACTAAAAATTCTGTTGGTGGCAACCAGGATTAATTCACGCAATGGACATTCCAAGGTGCGTTCACTGATGTGACAAACTTTGTCCTGACAAACTTGCTGTCTCACAGTCAAGAGAAATTGATCGCTTCTGTGTGCCACGCTGTAGAAGAACTGTCATCTGTTAAAGAGTTATTGTCACACTCAAATGCTTCTGTACAATATGCATATTTTGTTACAGAACTACAAACTGACATTGCTTGTGGTGCCATCTCTCTTGTTCTGCTGCATTTGTATACGACTCATAGCTCAGAATCATTGGGGTTTGTGTCAATTACTTGTCCCACCAAACAGAACACCATCACTTCATTTTCCAAGTTCTCATGTAACCTCGACAGAAATGTCCCCTAATTACATTAATATATGCATTATACATAAATTAATATATAATGAAGGTATATACATATATATATATCTATTATAAATGTTTGAAGATAACCTCTCAGATTTATTTATTGCATAATAGTACTATGTAGAATAGAAAATTTTGATTATTTTTTTCCTTTATATGATATAAAATAAAATAATACTGAGTTACATTGACTGTGTAATGTCCCTTAATGTGGATGATTATGTTTCAGTAAAACAGTGTTATGCCCTTTATCCATGTAGATGTTAGGACAGTATCCTGAAATAATGTGTTCACTTCCATTCTTTCCAATTTAGCACACATAATCATGCACTGGGATAACTCAGTAAGTGAATAAGGTTTGTTTCCTGT